GGGCAGTGAGTGTAATGGCCGGGAGGCGGAGTTAATTTGGAGTCGTAATTGGCGGAAAGGCGTTGGGAGGCGGTCCGATCACATCGCGCTGGAAGTGTGGTTGGTCAAACTAGCCTACTACGAAACGCCAGAATCGGATACCGTATAACGGGTAAGAAATTCAGTAAACACCTCCACTAGTTTTCCCATGATTTGGTGATGGAAGTATGGAAGAAACTGCTCCGGTATATGACTTCAAGCACAAGTGACCCAGAAGGTGCTAGAAATTGGGGCAGGTTAAGTTTCACGTTCCTTTTTGTTACCCTGTCTTTAAAGCCCTTAGGTGTTAAAGAGCCGTTATTAGAAACCATATGCAATTGAACTAGGTTTTTTGAAAGGACCTTAGTTGCTGGCCACTGGCCCTTAAGGGTACTAGTTGGAAATGTCAGAGCATTCGTTGGTCGAGAATTAGCCCTAAATGCGGTTCGAGGCCTATATGATGCGCATAAACTCACCTTTCCATCAGGGCTGGTGCAATTTTTGTCAGTGATTGCCGCCTGGCTGCCCACAACGATGAACGACAAAGCAATTACGAAGCTGAGCATTGTCAAAAGTTCCTGAAAATGCTACACTTGGTAGATTTTGGTACCACAAGATAGAGAGCCATAAGCGGGTTCTCAAGGCTCATTGGAAGGTAGCCAAGGGGTTACGGTAGATGAGCATTTCTGAATGATAAAGTTATACGGTGAAATTGCTGATGTGGAAGTCGTTGGAAGCTCACTGCTCTGGTGGACCTCTCCTACGGGTTTTATACCAGGGCTTATTATTGTGATAGTATATGGATGCAGCTGTTCACAGTGTTGCAATATCGCTTTTGATTCTCACCGTAGTCGACAAATAATTGAACGGTGTGATGTTTGCACACCGATTATAGCATAACACAATAGCATGGTGATGTTGCAATATGGGTGGTCCTTCGCAGGCATTAAAGCTCATTTGGCATTTGTCATGGATTTCAACAAGTTGGGCTATGTGTCAAAATTTCGCTTCGAGGGCTTCATCCCCTTCCCTCCTCTCCAGTCAGCCAGCCTCACTCACTCACCAACCAGGTCATATTCTCAGTCTTCTTCCCTTCCGCCTGAACTAGCTAACGGTAGCTAGGTAGGGTATATGTAGTACAGAAGAAACATAACAATTTTCAAATATACCGTAATATTCGCAAATTTTAGAAAATTTCTTGAAAACATCCGATGAAAGTTTCTAAAACTCCAACACACTACTTAAAGGAATCTTCCACGGAAAAAGCTCCGCCCTCATTACCACAGAAAACGATACCTTAAAGGAATCTTCCACGGAAAGAGTGATCATTTTGTCTTGTGTGTAGGATTAGTATTATCGAAACTAACGCTTATGTTCCGTTCTTTTTGCTATGCTCATGAGGCTAGGGGCCTAAGGTATCGTTTTTCTGTGGTAATGGTGGAGCTTTTTCCGTGGAAGATTCCTTTAACCTTACCTGTGGTCGCATTCACCCACATCGGTCCACGAGTTTCCTTCCTCCGCCCACATGTCCGTGGACTGTCCATAAATGTTGATGTTCGAAAGTTTGCTTCTTTTCGGTATCTTTAACAATTTCCCTGAGACTTTGTAGGGTGTTTGGTGCATGGTCCTTCTGTGCTACAGAGTCATCACGTAGTTACACGATGGTCTATAAAATTTCTAGAACTTTGAAATCGATCGTTTTGTAGTAATTCGTTTTCCTACAAGAGAATTGTGCGTGTACTCATGACACGAACCAGAGCTACTTTTACGCTACATCGCAAGTTATGCTTGTGGGGCGTT